GCTTGTGAAAATATTAGAGCAACCACTGCATGTACAATCTTGCTTGTTTAAAGTGTTTAGAGTTGGAAGACAGAACAAGAAACTGTGTACTTTATCTCAAAAGTGTGTTTGTGTGAAGTGTTAGAAATGTTTTTGTTTTCTCCTATTGTAAAATTGCTGGGAGCCAAACCCAGGAAACTACCTGCTGTTCTAAGAGAACCTAGGAAATTACCTGCTGTTCTGGAAAGCCTAGTCAGTACAAGGTTAAGAAAGGACGTTCACAGGTCTCAGGTCCCAGGAACTTAAAAGAACATCTGGCATTTCCTAGGAGCTGGTTACAACAATGGGATAGTCTAGGGCAATAAGGATGTGACAGTTGGGATGGTCTAGGGCAATAAGGATATGACAGTGGACTGGTCTTAGACAATGAGGACTCAATAGTGGGATAGCCCTATGCAATGACCCTCACCCAAACTTCCCGTTTTGCTGTGTCTTTATAACCTGCCCCCAAAATTAAAGTTGCAGAGCTTGATCAGAACTCCAGACTTGCTCTCATTCTTTGTGTCTCTTGTCCCTTCATTCTTTGCCCCCTTCCCTAGGGTCTTGTCAAATCCCCGCAGGCCGGGGCAGAGTATATTGTGGGTATGTCCATCATTACTGGTGAAGGAAGGGGATGGCTCCCTGTGGTCATGTGGAGAAATGATTTTAATGATTTTTTTAGTTAAGGTGGGCTGTGGGTAGTTGGAGGTATGGATACACATTTACATGAAGGGAAACACTTGGAAGGAGTGTGTCAACTGGAGACTAGGAAACGAAGCAGCAGGTGGACCCACTTGTAAAATAACATACAAATTCCAGCTAGCCCTTAGAAGAGACATGCCAGCCATTTACAACACAGATATAATTTTATTTACAAGCCATAAGCCTAGATTAGGCAGGTTTCGGAACTATTCTTACATTCCAGCCATGTGTCCCGTGTTACTTGCCGGTTCTCCTGGCTTCATGGTTCGAGGTCCGTCTCCTCTCATGGCAGCCTCCTCCTCCTCTCTTGGTGTCCTTTCTGCTTTCTCTTCTGTCTCTGCCTGCGACCTCCAAGTAGGTAGATGAAAACCCACCTACCTCTATCATATTGGCCAGTCACAAGTATTAGCCTTTTATTGACCAATTAACTTGGGGGACAAGGTTTATACAAGGAAAGCTGGTGTATGTGAGAATTTCCTCATGGGGGGGCAGCTAGATCTTGGGGGCCCATATTTACCATTCAAATACATAGCAGCACCAGACCAATCCTCTACACCTACTTCCAAATATGAAAGCTATAGACAACAAGCAAGACAAAAGTTGAATTCTGAGGTTAGCCTAAGATAATAACTGTGAGAGCATCGTGACTGCAAGGCCTATGTGGGTTCACTTTAGACCCTGGTTTGGACTTGTTCCCTTACATTGCTGCTGTCATCAATGGACCTGATGTTATTTTGTTCCATAGTCAAGTGTTCTTAAGGTTTTGCTTTCGTCGCTCAAAACCATAGGGTTTTGTGTGTGTGTGTGTGTGTGTGTGTGTGTGTGTGTGTGCTTATATAGAAGAACATTTTAAGATATAAGTGAGTGCCCACACCTGCTCTGCATCTGTGGTTTCATTTCTCTTCTCTATTTTTGTATGATAGAATCAGTTCCTGCTTCGATCTCAAGCTGAAGATATTTTCCACACTCCCCCAAAAAATATAGAGCGCAAACTAGCCTATCGTAAGGAGAAAATACTACCTCTGTATACAATGCTATGCTGAGTCTCACAGTACACTGATAACTAACTGCAAATCTGAACAGAGGCTGTTGGTGTTGGTGGCAAGATGTTTGCTGAGTATAGTTTGATGCCTAGCCCCAAAGAAGAAAAAGAAAGAATTAAAAGAAAAAAAAGGAAACATATGATATAATTACTTTCAAATGAAAATCAAAACCAGATAAAACTGACCTGTAGGAATGAAGCTGTAGAGAGCTAATGATTTGGATATAGCACTGGGAACCCCTTTAAAAGTGTTCCATTTCTTCACCTAGTGATAATTAGGTACAAACCCCCGTGTGCACACATACAAGGCACACACTCATTTTTACATTTGAATATCTTGGGGCTGGAGAGGTGGCTCACCACCCAGGAGTATGCGCTACTCTTTTAGAGGACTCAAGTTGAGTCCCAGCACCCACATGGTGGCTCATAACCTTCTGTAACTCCAAGTTCTAAGGGATATGATATCCCTTCTGGCCTCTGAGGGCATCGCACACACGTGATACACAGACATACATGCAGGCAGACACTCATACACATGAAAAAAGCCCTTTTAACAAATGACTAAAAGTTCTTGACTATCGTACTGTATTGATGTTGTTCTTCACTAATAACTACAGAAGTTGAAATGTAGTCCTCAAGAGGAACCTTGTCACAGAAGCCCTCTCCCACTTGGTAGGCAATTATCTTATATTAACATCTATGGTCACCAAGAAACGAATACAGGAGAGATGGCTCAGTGGTTAAGAGCACTGACTGCTCTCCCTGAGGTCCTGAGTTCAATTCAACCACTTGCTGGCTCACAACCATCTGTAATGGGATCAAATACCCCCTTCTGGTGTGTCTGAAATGAATACGACACTATAATTTTATATTAATTTAAAGCATATGTGAGAATGCCCTTGGTTGTAAAGAGAGAGCAACGAGATGATGATGATGATGATGATGATGATGATGATGATGATGATGATTTTGGTAGAATAGTCTAGAGGAATAATCCAGGGTCCTTCTGCACACAAGGTGAATTCCCCATCACTGACCTACATGTGCTCTCTTCACTGTGTGTGGTTTCTATTAAAGTTTTAGTTTGTTTTGAATATTTGCTTGTGTACAAGTCCAGATTTCTGCAGCAAACCATTCAAGAGACCGAATAATTATAGCTACCCTCTGCTATCTCTTCCTCACTCCTCAGATCTCGTAATAAATCTAAGATGAAATTGTCTGCTTTATATTATCTGCAGGAAAAAAAAAAAGACCTCAACCCCTTCTTGTCAGTGGCAGAAGGTCAAACTCATCCCTGTACATCGAGTGAGATAAGAGGAATCTCTGTATGGCAGAGAAACACAGAAAATTGTACCAAGCTGTTCACCATCAAAATAAGGCATATTCGAAGGACAGTTAGGAAGAAAAAAAATGTGTGTGTGACCAGAATCACGTAGCAGAATGCTCAGAAAAATCTGTTGGAAAGAAGCCTGGTCAGAAATGATAGTCAGAGGCTCAGCTATCACTTCCAAGCCACAGACTGGGGGAGGGTGGTTGATTTTAGGGGATGGATCTTAGGAACATCAAAAGCAGGGGCTAGATGTCTGAGGCAGACCCAGAAAAGCATTTGAGGACAGCCAAATCTTTGATCAGCTGCATGTATATTAAATGCTGTCAGAATTTCACTCTATCCAGTCCCTTTGTGCCGTTGTGTCCTTGTCACTTTGATGTCCTTGTGGAGGAACTGAACAGAATATGTAGGATGGTGGTGGGCCGCCTTAGGTATTTTTTTTAGTTACATGTTGCAGTAAATCTACAACTCAAATAAGCCCGGTCAAAGAAAACACAACTCAATAATTATGAATACAAACTGCACGTCTTGATTGGACAGGTTTACCACCACACTACTCTATTCCAGCTATGAGATCTCTCATAACTTGTGTTTTTTCCAGGCCACATGCTTCTCCTCCATTGTCCTTTCACCTCTCCTCCTCCATCGTCCTCCCTCTCTCCCCTCTCCCCTCTCTTCTTCTCCACTTCTCCTTCTACTGCCCAATCACTGGCTCTAGACTTTATTTTACAAGTTAAGGTGGGCAGAAGGTTCACAAGAAGTCACCTTTATACTGAGTCACTCCTTGTCTACAGCCCTTCCCAGGAAAGCAGAATTAGCATCAAAATACAAGAAGGCTATCCACCACAGTTACAACTAGTAGTTGTCCTTAGAGACTCGTTATGGTGTTACGCTGAATGTAGAAGCAGCCTCATCCCCCTCACTCACAACAAACTGTCTCTGATATTCTAGGAGGAGCCATAGAATATGACAGTCTCTCCTCTCTCAGAGTTTATAGTGTGCTGGGAAGAGTTCAGTTACTTGTGACCTGGGAAATGTCTGCTCTTGTAGCCTGAGCAGCTGTGCTGTCGCTGAGGTCCACATCATCATTGCTTCGGGGTCCCCGATGCCTTGGTTCTTCCTGCTTCTGGCTGTATATCTACAGGAGCAGCAGAGGTGTGGACACTGATTCCCAATGCTTGTAACAGCCACACATTGGGAGGCACTTCCATTCCAACAAGAGGGGATGGCATTAGATAAAAGAGAATTTAAATGAAGGCATAGTACACTGCAAGGAGCAAGCTCTCTGAGGGTTGGGGATGTAGCTTAGTAAAGTGGTTACGAATCACATGCCTACAAATCATGTGCCAAGTCTTGGGTTTAAATCCTCAGCTAAATCCTTAATACTAACTGCTATGAATCCAGGCGGCTGTCTTAAATGGTTATACCAATGGATGGTATTGCCTTTTTTGCTTTTATCTGCATGTATTCAACCATGTTCCTGAAAGCAGAATCCCCTCCCTAAGTTCTTGGGATGTCTATCTAACCTGTAAACCTCTCTCTCTTCTAGCTCTGGGAAAGCATTGTCATCGCTCCCTTGGGTCTCATGGTAGGAATGGCATTGTGTTATTATTGCACACTGCTCTGCTGTACCATGCTTTTTGAAGTGCCTGTACTCTGTTCAGATCCTTATAAATAGTGTCTTTACTCTCTTTACATTGTTCAATTGGACTATGTCAACTGCGTCTTTCTGGATCTTCCCTGACATAGAAATCACTTCTATAAATGGCTTTAGGAGAAAGATTGTGAGCATTGGACTCTGGGTTTGGATAGCCACGTATTTGAAGAATATAGAACATGGAGGTAAGTTATTTGGGTACACATAATGCCTGACATGTGGCACCATCATGACTTAAAAATTTTGTGTGTTCTGCCCCTAGAAGCATTGCAGGTGAGGCTGCTGTGTCAGATGTGCATTAGCAGCTGGCAGAAAGAAGAGAGGCTGTCTATGCTCAGTGTTCTGACCTATGAATATCTGAATGACATTCCCTGCAATAAGTGAGTCTGAGACAACCACCAGTCCTGTGCCAAGGGCTCAACTAGCTTGAGACTACCACCAGTCCAACCCTCAATGGCTCAGAGGACTGGGAGCAAGCCGTAGACTGGTCAAACCCCACATGGGACTGAGGGTCCCTGGTGGGAGTGAGCCTGAGATAGACAACCCTCACATTGGGCCACTCAGTGGGCCTGGTGAGACGTGAGCCTGAGATGACCACTATATTGGCACCTTAGGGTTTGGACAGGGAGCTAGCTTGAGATAACCACCAGTTGGGTGCCAAGAAATTCTGGGGTAGGGGGAGCAGGCCATGTCAGAAATGACACTTGCCCAGCACCATAATGCATGAGCAGGGCATAGAACTCATGAGACCACTCCTGAGGTAATCCCAGACACTCTGAGACCCTGGGTGCCTCTAAGAGGAGCCAGTGAGTGGAGGCAAAAGTAACAGACAGAAAAAAGAAGGATATGGAACTGATGAAGAGAGGCAGAACTGGAGACTGGACAGCAGTGAGGAATGACCTAATGTGAGTAGCCAATGATGCCACCTGGGACCATGATGGGGTTCAGACCTGTGCTGCCACCAGGGGCTATGTCTAGGCATATGACCTTGAAGCAGCAGGGATTTGTTACCATCAATGCCCAGGCCTGGGACGTGTTGATTGCTGGGAGCCAAACCCAGGAAACTACCTGCTGTTCTAAGAGAACCTAGGAAGTTACCTGCTGTTCTAGAAAGCCTAGTCAGTACAAGGTTAAGAAAGGACATTCACAGGTCTCAGGCCCCAGGAACTTAAAGAACGTCTGGCATTTCCTAGGAGCTGGTTACAACAATGGAATAGTCTAGGGCAATAAGGATATGACAGTTGGGATGGTCTAGGGCAATAGGCATTCAATAGTGGGATAGCCCTAAGCAATGACTCTCACCCAAACTTCCCGGTTTGTTGTGTCTTTATAACCTGCCCCTGAAATTAAAGTTTCAGAGCTTGATCAGAACCCCAGACTTGCTCTCATTTCTTGTGTCTCTTGTCCCTTCATTCTTTCGCCCCGTTCCCTAAGGTCTCGTTGAATCCCCGAGGGCCGGGGAAGTTGATATCTAAGTGCTGTGCAGAACTGGCTCCACCCTTCATCTGGGCATCATGGGAGAGCTGGCCCTGGGTGCATGAGAACAGGGGAGCTGACCCAGATGCAGCACTGAGGAGATCAGCCCAGCACATTGCGGGAGTTGCAGGAGAGCCAGGCCATGGATACTTGTGTGGGAGAGCTGGCCCTACTACTCATCTCCTATGCAGTGTCGTGGATGATAGATATCCTCTTCCTCCCTCACTTCTCCCCACCTGCAGCAGGGAGGACACCTGACCCTGGGGACATGAGAGCAGAAGAGTTGGCCTTGCCCCTCACTGACTACAGCACTTAGGAGAGTGGCCACTTCACCTTGACTGGGCAGCACAATAGAGCTGGACCTGGATGTGGAGGTTGTGGGTGAGGTTGCACTGAGGGCATGAGTGTGGGAAAGCCAGAACTGCCTCTTGTCTGCTGTGTGGTGGTATGGACTAGGGAGAGATGCCCTTCTTCCCTCCCTCATTCCTCACTATTTATAGCAGGCAGGAGAGCTGGACCCCAGGTCATGACAATGGGAGAACTGGTCATGTCCCTCATCAGCTGCAACACTCCGGATAGTAGGCCCTGCACCTCACCTGGGCAGCAGGGTAGAGCTGGCCTTGGTAGCAGGGGGTTGCTGGTGAGCGGCACTCAAGAGCATGAGATCTGGAGAGCAGGTAGGATGACCAGCTCAGCTCAGGTCCAGATCCAAGGCTTTGAATAGGCTCCCCCCAACATCTACCCCATCAATGAACTGCTGCAATGTATAAAGGATCTGGTCTTATAGATCCAAAACTATAGGATCTCCATGACACAGGGCAACAACAAGCTATCCAAGAGGACTCCCAATGATGATCCAGTATTGACGGTGTAGCAGAAGCCAGATACCTCGTACAGATTCATTGCAATGAACATTTGCAATGAAAGAGATGTAGACAAAAGAGTATACTGTGGGACACATTGTGAGACAGATACTATAGCTTCCTCAACGAGATTTTCTTTTCCTCTGTTGTAGGGGAAGTTGGAAGGGAAGGATGGGTATGAGTCAGATTGGGGTGCATGATGTGGAACTCATAAAGAACTAATAAAAAGTTAAAATATTCTGTGTGCATGATTCGCAGGACAGAAGCCAGCATGGCATCAAAAGACAAAGCTGTGGCATTGCCGTTGATCATAGCTGTATGGCCCATGATACTACCTGGTAACTCAGACAGTCTTAGTTAATGGAGGAAAGAAGAAAGTGAGCTCTCGGTTTCCATTTGGAATTGTAGATGGATAATCAGAAAACCTGACTGGAAGGGTGAGGGCTTTTCCTACAGTCACAGGCAGATGACAAGTATGACGGGTGATTGGATCTTTGGTGTACCACTGCTCATGGGTCGCAAATGAAACAGCCACACTGTGAGAAGACTTGGAAAGTAGTTTTAAGAAATAAACACCTTGTCACGTGACCTATAGGCTTATTGGTAGGCTCTTCTCCCAGGGAAGGAAAATTTATCTCTACCTAAAAAGCTGCATATATATATATTTTGTTTATAGTAGCCTCAAACAACAAGCAAGGCACACCCTGCGCCCCTAAGTGAGTGGCATGTTGACACATAAAATACCACTCGCCGATCAAAAGGGTCAGATGGAGATGGTTGGTACATTTACCAACTTAGTATCAGAGCATCGCATTGAGAGAAGGGAGAGAGGAGGCAGTCACAGAAGGCTACACATTGTGTGAGTCCATTGATTTACCGTTCTCAAAGTAACAAAACCAGAGAGGTAGGAAATAAATGGTACTAGCCAAGGGTTATATGGTGAAGGAAGGATAGGCGGGACTGCACAAAAGGGTAGCACAAAGGAGGTCTTTGTGGTGAGGAGTGGCTTTTTTATTTTGATTGTACTATGATTTGGAACTATTGTAGAATGGCCACAGGGCTACACACACAGAGACACAGACACAGACACACATATGAATGCACAAGCAATGGGCGCTGCTACAGGGTCTCAGTCTATATGTTTTTAAATTTGTTTTCCAACGGTCCGTGACTCTGATCATTTTAAAATTATAACATTTTAAAATATATGTGTTAACTTTTTGGATATACAATAGATTCACATGATTCAGAAGCCAAACTATACAAAGCAGTATACTTTGAAAACAATCTCTGTTGTATCCAGAAAATCTATCAGTTTAATGTGTGCATAGTCATGGACTCCCCTGCAGAAAATAAATGGTAAGCTCGTGTGTGTGTGTGTGTGTGTGTGTGTGTGTGTGTGTGTGTGTGTTGGGGGTGGCTCTGGGGAGCTATTGGTTACAAGTTCCCCAGAATGGCTGGGAAAAACTCACAAAGGACAGGTGAGCATGCCAGATCCAGCAAGCACAGGGCTGTGGGAAATGGACAGTTGCCAGGGAGAGCCAAAAGGGAGAGGCAGTGGTGGAAGCTGAAGAGTTTTAGGAGCATTAGGCTCTAAGAAGAAACATGGCCACTGCCAACCTATTGAGAGCGGAGAAAGGACTGTGAAATAAATCCTTGATATTCCCCTTCCCTTCCCGCTTCCAGTTGTCAAAAGCCAGAGAACCGTCTCCATACTGTGACTTCCCAGCTGTGTTCTCCTAACAGCTGGCTCGCACGCTAACATTCCTATTCCCTTAGAATGCAAGGGAGCACAATTCTCACTCTTTTTGTTTGCTTATTTCTGTTGCATTTCCCTGCTTAATTCAGTGCGGTTTCAAACTGGCTTCTCACACCTCCTGCTCCTGATTACTCAAGAGCCAGGAGTTTGCACCATGCTGCCTCAGAATTCTCATTCTTGTTTTGTTTTATGTGTGTGAAGTGTTTTGCTTGCAAGAATGTAAGTGTACCATGTGTGTGTCTGGTGCTCTTGTGGATTAGAAGAGAGCATCAGATCCCCTGGAACTGGAGTTACGAATGCCAATGAGTGCTGGGAAGAAATCTCACACTCGTGTGAGCGCTGGGAATGGAACCAGGGTCCCCTAAGAAGAGCAAGGATGCTCTTGACCACAGAGCCATCTCTATCTTTTGTCTTTCTTTAGGTTGTTATCTTCAAGTCCTCCTTACATGCTTTATTGTTCAGCTTTTCTTAAAGTTTGAATGCTAATAGCACTCACCGCTTTATGTTCCTGACAGTATGATTTATTCAGTAGATTGCGATGTGTTTTTGAGCAAACAAAACAAAGCATAGCAAGAGAAGAGAAATTCTGGAATTTGTCATCTTACTAGGATTATAGCTTATCCTTATTAGGATCTTACAGCTCTTAGGCTGGCCAGCCTAGCAGGTGGATGGTTGACAAGGATCGTAAGGAAGACTCACCTGCTTATCCTGTTTCTTTAAATTTTTATTGTGCTTGGAATAGAAAGCAGACTCTTCACCAATACATTCTGGACCATGTGATCTGTGGCCGACCTTCCGAGTTTGTCTGATGAGCCCTTTCTGTGGCTTTCAATTATATATACACCAGCCCTCCACTCAAACACCAACCTCATTTCAGCTTTAGGATGCTCCCAACAACCTTAGTCCCCAGATCACTGCTTACCCAGCAGCAGCTGCTGCTTTTCCTTCTCTTCCTTCACTGCTGAAGAAAATGCTCCATTTGCTAGTGCTGATGTTAGATGTACTGACCAGAGAGGAGGTGCACACTCTTGTTTGTGTAACAAAACAAACATAATCATACATCAAGCTGACTGTTGTAATAGGAAGAAAATGAAAATGTGTTTATTAACCATGAGGATGCATGAAGAGGCTGGGAAATAAGGGTTGTATGAAAAGCTTAGTAATTTATGCACAATAAATGACAATATGAAAAACTAGAAGTATTGATTATTGGGTAATGCCACAGCTATGAAAACTTTGAGGGTCACTCACACACACAAACAAACCACACACACACACAC